CCTTGAAAATTCTATGGGGCAGAGTTCTACCCTAATATATATGGGGTCAACATGAGTTGAAGCCAATTGACAGTAACTGGTTTTTGGTCCATATATGTAAAAAAGCTACCAACCAGAGATGAATGCCTTCATATACATGCCAATCTTAGAGGGAGGAGAGTGAACCAGGAAGACTATTTCCATTCCACTTTGCACAGGACTGTAGGTAACCCCACAAGTGAAGGCTGAAATCTGCATAAAACTGAAAATGTTAGCTTTTGACAAAATGTGATTGTTTGAGCACTTTCTGCATCAATTTCCTTTGGTCTGTGTGATGGCCAGTTTTAATTTAAATCAGATATTTTCTTAAGAGCAGGAGACTTACTCTACAGTCTCTTACTCCAGCATGTTGGGTCCTTTGGGTCTGGTAAAAATTTGTTTCACATTTAATTTCTAAGAGTGTACTATGAAATACACCGACACAAATGTGTATGTGGAGCACTTGACATGCTTATTTTTCTTTGACTCAAGCACAGGTTTAATATAGCACCTTTCTTTATACAGGTTTTCGCTATCTCGATGACCGGCCCTGGAGAGAGAGCTACCTACACTCTTAGGTCAAAAGCAAGACCTTTTGGGCATCCCAGGACATGGTTAGTACCCTGCTCAGTGCAGTGTGGGAATCCACCCTTGGGACCTGGCCTCCCTCTTAGCCGTTGTTGACATACTATGAAGTCTAGAGCAAAACTCCGAACCTCCTTGCACTTTATTGACTAGTTTCTAAATGTTGGCATTATTACATCATACTAAATAGATTTTAACATTTATTTCAATGTATGGACATTTCTTGTAAGCTTATTTGCAGTAGAGATTAAATTCTAGACTGGCTTTCCTACTACTGAGGGTATTTCTGGGTCACTCCTTTCCCTTGCTTGGAGTCCTGGTGTGGCACTGTGGGCTAATGCGTCAGACTGAAAAGTCATTTGAACTGCAAGGTCAGTGGTTCAAGCTCACCAGCTGCTCCTTGGAAACACTCTACAGGGTCGCTATGGGTCAGAATCAACTCAAGGGCACTTAACAACAACAACCTCTCCCTTTTTTAACCAGTGATGCTCAAGAATTACAAACAAATGTTGCCCTTAACTTTAGCAAAACAATGCTAAATTATGCTGCCTCAAAGCATATGCAGCATTTTCTATTACCCATGACCTGGATGGAACAACTCACTGCTGTTTTCCATTGATTTTGGTTAAATTTCACTTAAAGCAAATGTGGATTGACTTCTAAAGGAGGAATAACTTTACACAAAGATTGACAGTAGGACAGATTAAAACAGAAAGCATTCCAGTAGCAGTTAAACTGTGGTTGTGTTTTAACCAAATTTAGGGGATGCCTACTCAGCTCTTCAGGAAGAAAACGACAAACATTATACAAAGTAAGATATTTACTGTTTAATCCAGTTTATATCCCACCATCCTCAAAATGTTTCCCCAGACATTTCTCAAATGGAAGTAAGTTCTCTTCTTCTTCTTCTTTTTTTTTTTTTTTTAAATATATATAGTGTTGAGACTACCCTTTGACACCCCCTGTCATTCATTTCAGAGTATTCAGAGTATCTCGGATCTATCTCTCTTCCTCAACTTGAACTTAAGCACCCTGGGTAAATCAAACCAGTTGCTGTTGAGACAATTGAAATTTATGGTAATTTATGTGTCAGAGTAGAACTATGCTCCATAGGGTTTTCAATGGCTGGTTTTTCAGAAGTAGAGCTCCACGCTTTTCTTTCAAAGCATCTCTGGGTGGACTTGAACCACCATCCATTTAGATAACAGCCAAGCCCATTTTAGTCCCAGTTCGAGGAGTCAATGTGCCCAGCAACCAATTGTTTGATGGATCTTTTTGCTCACTATTATAGTTTTGCTTACATTTGCTATGAGGCAAACATGTTTTGAGGAAAATAATTAATCAGCCCCAGTGACTTCATGCAGGGACTGAGCTATATTATTTCCAAGTTTAGGGGAAAAACTCAAATCCAGTAACTTGATTGATCATCACCTTCCATGTAGCTTTGCCATGAAATGCTCCTTCTCTAGTTTCTAGTTTCAGTCAAATGCTTATTTTCTATAATCAGACCCCCTCCTAAGGCCCAGCTGTCATCCTGGCCTGATCTAGGACCCTGCAGTCCATCTTGATTAATTTTGCAAATAAGGAAACTGAAGCACAAGGATGTTCGATGATTTGCACAGTCTCCCAGAGTCATCCTGAGCATGCAAGAACTCCAATGGAGTCCTCCCAGCCCCAAGGCCAGTGTTCTTTCCAATAAGTCATCGTATCTCTTCACGCAAAGAGAAGAACACCAAGGGCTTTATGCCTTTTGGCAATAATTCATATGATGAAGTGAGATTATTGTCTCTCTTCTGAATACCCAGAAACCCTAAAACAGCATATCTTTTAGTACCAGAAGGATCTAGTGTGATACTTTTGTTGGTTCATAAAATATTCAAGTGCTCAAGCCATTTGTTTAAGTATAATTCCAACTGATATGTGTTTTCTGATATGAAAAAATGGAGGTTGTGTTTCTTTTTGTTGTTTTTTCCCCTTTTTTAACATTAGGTGGAAAAATAAGCATGGATACTTGGAGAACACAGTCTAAATTTAGCTGCGAGAGTTAATGCTGGAGCAGTGGGAATGATACTGGTTTTATGGCTGTGGCTCTCCAGACTGCAAATCACAGCTCCAAGCTTGTATATTTGCTCAGTAGATAGACGACAAATCACACCCAAAGACATTAGTACACAAACTGTCACTGCTTGTATACAAGTAGAAGAGTTAGGGTATGGTCCAAGCAGTCCATCAAATCAGACAACCCATTTTGCCATCTGAAAATCTATAGCAATAACATGTATTGAGATTCCATGGTTCAGATCAGACTCCATGTGAAAGTGAGAATGAGCTTTTGGTCAACCTTCATGGAACGGGGCTCTTTTCTCAGGACTAGACTGGAGTTCTGATGTGGCACTGTGGGATAAACCACTAGACTGCAAGGTTAGTTTGAATAACAAAGTTGGCAGTTCAAACTCACCAGCCACTTCTTCAGGGTCGATATGAATTGGAAGCAACTCAATGGCACATTACAACAACAAACCAGTGACAATACCTGGAATGAAGGTGTGACTGTGAGACAGGGGCTTGTCCACAAAATCTCTTGTGCTGGAACACGAATGTGGCTCTGACCAATAAATAGCCATGTCAGGGATTTGTTGCTCTCTGGAGTTTTTAATGGTCCTTTTGACTGACTGGAGTCTGAATTTCTGGAGTGAATTTTGTTCATTTTCTACTGAGATGGGGAAAAGTGCACGTGGCAGTTTATGAATTGGGTCTGACAACCAGGCTCTGAAAGGGGGCTGGAGCAGGGTGGTCTGTGTGTGTGAAGCTCACTGGATAGAACTGAAGTCGGGCTTGTGACATACAATAACAGCTGTGTGTGACCCAGCAGCCTGCAAACTACTGCCCTGGAAGGAGACATGCATGCCAAGTGACGACAAAAGGAGACGTTTGTTAATCCTGTTCAGTGTAGAGATCTGGATTGTTAGTCTGCTGGGAGAAATAAAACAATAAGTAAAGAGATTCCTTGCTTGGGTGCAGCCTGGTCTTTGTTTTCCTCTATCCTTTCATTTTGAAGTCTCCAAACTATTGTTTTCCTATAATCCAGGACATTTGTTATGACACGTTTATGTGTAAATATATAAAGCACACAGTCACAGACACCAATTCATATTTCCAGACTCCTTTGACTTTTCCATTCTGGGGGCGACACATAATCAGATGTGTGTGTTTACATTCCCTTTCTGTTCATTTATAGAACTCCCCCTGCGCTCAGAGTACATAGCCAAGTTCTGCATCACCAGCAAAACAGTGCATTTTTAGCAGCCTCCCTAGATAGTTTGCTTAATTCTTTCCGAGCGCCTCTTGTTGACCATTACAAAGGTTAGCTAAAGAACATACTGGATGCTGGGGATCCAACCATGTGAACAAAAAGAGAGCAGGGAGTTCTAGTACAAAGATAGCAGATCAGCTTAGAACATGACACTTGGAATCCTGGCCTTTCCAGATGTAGGTCATCCTTCTCTTGGCAAATCAGCTTTTTGAAGCCCAAGCATAGTCTGGGTAAGCCAAGTTTTTGTTGTTGTTAATGTTGTTTTTGCTTTTCCTGTAGTTTTGTTTTTAGCAGACATTAGAAGCTAGAAAATGAGAAATCTGAACTACAAAGCATATTTTTTTTCTTCTACATGTCATTTTACTTAAGCCCGAAAAGACAGAAGAAAGAAAAAGTGGCATTGACCTGAAAACCCCCACCAAGTAATCCAGGAACATGAGTCCCCTCTGAGGAGTCCCCTGTGTGACTTACACAGTCTAGCACATTGCTAAGCAAGTTGAAGTGAGCCCATGCTGACAGCTGATTACAGAGCAAGGGGAAGAAGACATTTGGTACTGACTCAGGAGGACCTGTTGAGCATTGAAATGTAGGTTTAGAAAATACAGGGTTAGCCAGAATTTTAATTTGTAAAATAAATAATTACCATGGAATCATCAGAGACTTGGTTTGGCGCTGTAGGATAAGCACTGGGCCGCAAGGTCAGTTTGAATCTCAAGTTTGATGGTTCAAACCCACCAGCTGCTCTTCAGAAACCCTATAAGGATGGCTATGAGTCAGAATTGACTCAATAGCACCTAACAACAACAACAATATTGTATCATCAAATAGATACATCAGTTAGTGCTGTTTTTCTCTTTTCTTCACATTGAGAATTCCCAAAAAAGACCCTGAGAATAACTTTTGGAAAAAAAAATAACTGTGAAAAAAATCTCTTCACACCAAGAACACAGACTTCTCATGTTTCTTTGGACCCCCAAAGACTTCGGGAACCTGAACATTTAAATCACATTCTATGGCAGGAGCTAACTTTTCTGGGGTGATTCAAGCACTCCCCTCCCCACCAAGAAGTGGAAGTGGTACTCACCAGTCATCAGAGTGTAGTAATTGGGGTAAGAGAGACTAGGGAAGTCTGGGGTCAAGTAATCCACTTTTACTCCCCTGCTCACAATGTCTTTGAAACCCGACAAGGACTCCAGAACCTCATCACTGATGTAGTCTGAACGAAAACCATCCAGCAGAAACACCAGGAGCTTCCGGTGGGCAGAGGTTGGCTGAGCCAGGCTGAGCCCAAGGACCAGCAGGAGGGCCCAGAACTTTGCTGCCATGCTGCCAGAAGCCTGCCAGAGCCTGGCTGGCACAGCCGTCCCCTTGCAAAGACTGAAGATGGAGAATCTGTAGCTATTCTCTCTTCTAGGGGCTGGACCTTGAGCTGCTGGCCTTACAGAGCCAAGTTCACTTGCAGAATTTAAAGGTACAGCACCCCCTTTTTAATCATCTCTGCTTACTCTCTACTAGGAAATCCATAGACTGTCTTCTTGGGGTGAGCAGGATTCCCAAACAACCCAGAATTAACACCGAGGGAAAGAGTGTAACCTTGTTATTTTTGGTGAACATTCCAGGAATAAATACATGTAAGTGGCAGGGAAGTAAAGTTTTAGAAGAAGACAATAGTCAACACAAACTTTACGGTTGGGCTAACCAAAGGGAGGAGCCAAGGGAAAGGACGATGTTTTAATTTGATGTTATCCCACGACTTTGCCTAATTTAAATTCCCTTAGTGACATTTCCACTTAAAATTTAGTAACACAATACTTTAAGCTCACTATGTAAATGAATTTAAGAAGCCCTACTTGTGACCCTAAGGAGCTCTGGTAGTGTAGTGGTTACAAGTCAGGCTGCCAACTGCAAGGTCAGCAGTTTGAAACTACCAGCAGGTCCACGGGAGAAAGATGAGGCTTTCTGCTCCCATAAAGATTTACAGCCTCGGAAACCCTGTGTAGGGTCACTATGAGTCGGAACCGACTCCACAGTACTTAACAACAACAACAACTTGGGAGCCTGTTTGTGGCCCTATTTGAGTCTACATAGCCATAGCATCTTAGCCACTTGCACCTATAGACTAAGTTCGTTGTTTTGTTTTTCAAATAACAAATTAGCTGCTGGTGTCTGGACCCATCTGAAAGTGCAAGTGGCTTGTAAGACAGCAGTAGATGCAGAAAGGAAGTCCCAGAGTTGGCTCAACAGGAAGTCATTAGTGTATTTCAGTCTGAGGTAGCAATGCCCCAACAAGACAGTAATGAAATCTAGAGTTGAGGGACAAGGTGAGGTGCCCAGCTACTACCACCAACTGCTCTGAAAAGGGTCACATTAGAAGGGCCTGAACAGAATATGAGAAAATGTGGAACAAAACTCAAAATCACAAAAAAATACAGACTTACTGGTCCAATAGAGACTCATGGAACTCCAGTTCTATAGCCCTTGTTCACTCTCAAGTCTGGAACTGAACTTACTGCTATGGCTTATATTTCAGCCAAGCAAAAGCTAGGTTTTTGAGAACAGCAGTACAAGCGAGGTATGCACACCACATCACAGAATGGTTAATGATTTCAGGTCAACAGGGCAGCATTTACCAAGGACAAAATTCAGAAGAGTTGAGAAAGAAGGAGGAATGGAAATAGGTAACACAGGGAGGAAGTGGGATAAATTATGTTAAATTGAGGGGATGGCAATCAGTGAGATGAAACAAAGCGTGTATGAATTGCTGAGTGTCAAACTGATGATCGCTCTGTAAACCTTTACCCAATTTACAATACGATACTTACCACCTTTTTTTTTTTTTTTTAAGTGTCTGACATGAAAAAATCAGAACCAGAAACAATCAGCTACGCATAAAGGGATAAGGTGACATAGTACTAATCCTAGTTGGTTCTTGTATGTGCCGTGGAGTCAGTTCTGACTCATAGCAACCCCTGTATAGGGTTTCCAAGGCTGCAAATCTTCACAGGACCAGAAAGCCTCATCTTGCTCCTACGGAACAGCTGGTAGTTTCAAACTGCTAACCTTGAGGTTAGCAGCCAAACCCATAACCACCACGTTACCAGAGTTCCTTGGTTCTGGAACCCCCTAAACCAAACAAATTGCCATTGAGTCAATTCCAACTCACGCCAACCCCATGTATGAAAGCACAACTGTTCCATAGGGCTTTCTTGACTGGAATCCATTAGGAAATAGATCACCAGGCATTTCTTCCAGGTACCTCTGGGTAGGTTTGAACAACCAACCTTTAGGTTAATGGTAGATCACAAGCCATTTGTGCCACCAAGGGACTTAGAGTGACTCTTTCAGTTGGCATAAAATTAAAATAAATAATTTCTGTAAAGCTTATCAACATACCTGGCCCATAGTAAGTGTATAACAAATGTTAGGCATTGTCTTAGATTCTGATAAAACTTGGAAGGGTTCGGGCCATTTTACAGGAACTGAAGATAGTCTGACACAGTCTAGCCTACTCCTGGTTCATTTTTAATGGTTCTCCACTTGACTCTCTGCCAATGCTTTCTTCTTCCTTTCTTTTATTCTATTGTTTAGAGTTCAAGCCCTTAGATAGACTTTCTAAACTAGACTGCAAAAACAGGAAACACATTTGCCAAATTACCATTCTTGTATCAGATGACTCAGATGAAAATCAGATTAATACTTTCCAATAAAAAGTAATGCTGGACTTCCGGTTTGCCACAGCAGCCAGATGGCACAGGTGAGAGAGGCTCCGGGTTCGGGGGAGGGAAACTCACGAAAGAAACCTTCCTGTGGCGAACCCACACCCTTACAGCCACCATAAGTCTCAGTACTTCAAAATCTTAAACTCGCTTTTTTTTTAAAAATCACTGTACTGAGGAACTGCTGGCTTTTTAAACTTGTGCCCGCCGCTTGGGGGCGGGGGGCGGGGTTGGAACCAGCTGAGCGCTCCCAGTAACGGAGTCTTGAACAGGCGGAGCCACTGGAGACAAGGGGAAGAGAAAGTGAGGGTCATCTGCCTCACCGTATAATTTCGGTGCTTGCAGTGGGCAGAGAGTAGTCAGTCAACAAAGAGAGGAGAAAAAAAAAAAAAGGAAAAAAACAGTGGCTGTCTGACATCATCGGGCAAGGACTGTGTCCACCCAGCCGAGTGGCCTCTACCCCGCCCCATTACCCCCTTGATCTCCACACTCCCGCCTTCCCAGACCCCAACCAGACTGGACCGCGTGCACCCACCGGAGCATGCCCTAACCTTTGGAGCATGCACACACCCCGCTGACCCAGCCCATGCACCATAACAGGCTAGAGCCCCACACGGGCCGCCCAAACCCCCCCTACCCTGAGGCACCCACACTGCTTGCAGGACCTCGTGCGAGTGCCGCCCTGCCCAGGGGACCCACCACTAGCCCCTCACTGCCTGACTGATTTCCCGCAACCCAACCCCACCCAACAGGCCCACTAGGCTTCCCCTGGGATTGTTCCCTCCGCCTTGGACAGCACACCCACACCCCCTGACCCCGACCACACGTCATAACAAGCTAGAGCCCCTCCCAGCCTCTCAGAACCCCTGTGGGAAACACCCTGCTGCAAAGCTTATTGAACTGCAAGGTCAGTGGTTCACGCCCATCAGCCAATCCTCCGGAAACCGTGTGCTCATTCCAGGCTGAGACAAGGGTCTGCCTTTTTGCGCTGGTCTAGAAGGAGTCCTGGCATGGCTCTGAGGGTTGAGATGGCACACTACAGAGACTTTTGAACTTCAAGGTCGGTGGTTCAAGCTCATACCAGCGCTCCTCAGGAACCCTTTCTGGGTCAGCCTTTTTTTGCTGGTTTAGTAGGAGTCCCAGTGTGGCTCTGAGGGCTGGGGCGCCACTGCAGAGCCTTTTGAACTGTAGGGTCAAAAGGTGGTTCAAGCTCACCAACCGCTCCTCAGAAACCCTATACAGGGTCGTTACGGATCACAATTGACTTGAAAGTGCCTAACAACCAGGAAAGAAGGGCAAAGTGACTGAAAGAGAGTTAGGACATTAAAGACATACCTACATTAAGCCACAGATTTTCGTATTATTATTATTATTTTATAATAATTTTCTTTCTTTCTTTCTTTTTTCATTTCTTCTTCCTCTTTTTCTCCTCCAACCCACTCCCTCTTTTTGGTGAGTAGAGAATACGGTATTGAGTCTTGTTTTGGCTGGTACTGCATTATTTTCTTCTGGTTTTATTTTATGTACATATATATGTTTTTCTTTTCTTTTCTTTTCTTCTCTTTTTGTTCTCCCCCACCCACTTCCCTTTTCTGTGATTAGAGAATGTGGTATTAAGCCTTGATCTTGCTGGTCCTGCATTATTTTCTTCTGGGGTTTCTTTCTTTCTTTCTTTTTCTTTTCTGTATTTTTCTTTTTTCCCTTTTTCCTCTTTCTCCCATTTTTGTTTTTGCTTTTGATTCTTACTTTGTTTTTTACC